AGGTTTGGATAATAAGGTTATAATGTCCCTCTTTTGAGGGTATTTAAAGGCTTTAGCAAGTACAACTTTTAGAAACAGCAATTTTAGAAACAGCATTAATCCTTAATTTATAGGGTTTTCCTGTTGTTCTACTGCTAACCTTGTATACTACACAGCTTTCCATCTTTAGTATTAATATGACTGGGAGTATTGGCAGCCAGAAACCCTTAATCCCCTTATTCACTGATTACATTTCTTTGCTGAAACTTAGAAAGTGTAAGTTAAGCTAACATCCTTAAACTAAAAATAATAATCAAACTTGCTATTTCTAATTAGAAGCATAAAAATAAGTTTCCCCTGATGTGCTGACATATAGAAACCTGCAAGCTAAAACAGGAAAAAACACCACACAGGGAACAAGCATCACTGGGTTCCATTACCCAAAACAAACATCAACAGGTACAGCGTGGCTTCTATTAGGAACCAGGGCAAATAACTATCCATAACAACACTTGTATTAAGTAAAAACAGCTGAAAACATCAGTCATCTAGAAGGAAATAAGAGAAACAACAGCCTCACAGTTTCTCAAGTACTAACAACAATTTTCATGCAATTTGGTAACCTCATGTAGCAAAACCCAAGCCACTCAGTGCTTTAAACAAACCTTGCCTTATTCCCCACAGAAGAGTATCTGAACACAAAAATAACTTGAAGTTTGGACAGGAAGGTACTAACCTTCTCCTGTGCCTTACAACAGGAAGAACTCGTTCTCAAAGACATTCAGTTATGCCAGGAATGTGTTTTAGGGTAGAGCTGAGCCCAAGTGCTTGGCAGCTCAGTTACGGTCACTTTCGAAAGGAAGTAAAAAGGCCCCTATCATCACACTACCTGCTACATTAGTAACTAATATCTCTTTAAAAAAAACCCACCAAACCCCAAGGGTCTTCCACCTTCACTTCATATGTATCAACAGTGTGATCTTTCTAAAGAACTCAAACATTTATCTTAAATGTATTTTTTAAGTCCCAAGTATTTCAGCCAACACAGGGATTTGCCAAGAACCCCTGCCAGAAAAAGAAAGATTTAAATTACAGATCAATTTCAGACAGTTCTATAATCAGGACAAATGTACTGTATTCCCTCACATATTAAATTAGAGAAGAGACAACTTTCTGCAAGAAACACCAACAGTAAAGAAAGAATTAAGAAGTAATCTTGTGACTGTCCAATCTTGAACTCAGAAAAGCAGCCGTCCACCTCCTAACCCAAAATGGTCCCTCCTTTTGCTGAAGAAATAAAGCCCAGGCAAGCTCACATGCCCTGATGGAAGTTTGTATGATAGAGAACTACTGCCATAAGCTTTCTGGAAATGAAGCATTAATCATGAAACCCTGGTAGTTATTTTTGCAGCCAACATCTGAATTTTCATTTGATGTACCATTACGATTACAAGCAGGTATGTTCAAAACATACTAATCCTCCCTATAAAGCAACATTAAGGTCTTTCTACTACTTTTTTATTTGTTTGAAGTAGCCTAATAGCCAAAAAAGGCACATAACTGTGTAACTAACTTGAACTAAAATGTTCATCTACATCCTACATTTCAATCACAAGACTTTGTAATTTAAGGATGCAGAATGTTCAATTGATTCTTCTTCTTCATTTGGAATAAAAGCCCCTGAGTTTGTACTAGCAACCTGCTGTCTACCGTGACAACAGTCGCTGTTTGACTAGGAGACGGAAAACCAGAAGAAACACTAAAAAAAAAATCTACAGCTTGATTCCTGAAACAGAAGAGTTCTGAGCAATGCAACTGAGTAGCTCTGAAGAAAAAAAAAAATAAAATCAATCGATCAAGTTTCACCTGAAGCACAATTTTCTATCATGACCCAACACTACAAGAGCCCACCTAGATCCTGCTCCCACAAGGGCAACATCCTATTAGCAAATGGAGCTGTGGTAACTACGTGGTTTGCAGAAACAGAACCTAACAAATAGGGGTATCATGATAAAACACGAACTAAGTGATTTCAAACATGTCACAGCATGAACTGAACTCCAGGTACACTACTGAGCCATTCAGGTATGCTCCCTGCAATTACTCTTCAGTATAGAGTGCAAAATGGTAGTTTTGAATATAGCCTAGAAAACTAAGCTTAAATGTCTTTAGGGAACAGTAAAGTTACTGCTTGGAACCAATTGTTTACAAATTCTATCAGTTAAAACTGCTATTCTTTAAGGAATGCGTTCTTAAAAGTAACTCTTTTTTATTAAAAAGGAATTATTTATTTTTCTACCTTATTTCCTGTAAACATGATGCTCTTCTCATGCTATGTATTTTCTACTTATAAATCAGATTGGTGTTGTTTTTACATATCAAAGTTCAGAGACTATCCTATTTTTAAAAAGAAGGCCTAAGTAGTACATGTTATAGGGTACACGCAAACGAGGTATTACTTTGTTGATATATTGGCTAATGCATGAACTAGTCCAGCAAATTCATTTCGATTAGCTTTCTTTTACAGAAAAAAAGCACCACTTCATTGATGGTGCTAGAAACTACATTAAAGCCATTCCAAAAGGAGTACTAAATTATTTTTTTAGACTTTGAATTAGTATTTCTATCACAAAATATTGGTTGTATTTACAATTACCATGAAGTTATGAAACAGAGATGGGATTCTTAAAAACAAAACTACCTGAGAAAAAGTTACTTTAGAAAAACAAAACAAGTAGTAATTGCTGAGTAACTCCCCCACCATGGGGGCCCCTGCCCCAGTGGCCAGCATTGCTAAAAGAATCTATCAAACCTGTTGGAAAAGGGTAAGAATGCAGAAATACAAAAAAAAAACCACAACAATTGAGGGTAAAAAAATTATTAGAAATATGAAACTAATGCCCAACATAAACTTGTAATGGCCCAGAAGTATTGCAGTTTGACAGATGTTTAGTCATGAAACAAGCTATGCAGCTACAGAAAAATCTCAGGATGGCTCCACCTACGTTACTGAAACAGCAGTGTCATCAGTTACAGTCTCATTACAGAAAGCAGGAACTGAAGATTGAACTTAGACATTACAAAAAAGGCCTGCAGACTGAGATAATCACATTGTTTCCATACAGTCTCCTGTAAAACCTAAAGGAAAACAACACTTCTTTCAAGTTTCACTGAAGACTAAAGATCACTCAGGTGATCTCTAGTCCACCATGCTTGCAAAGAAGTCATGAGATGACCCCGAATAACTTTCCTACTGCAAAATGTGACCAAATATACACTGTTAGCTTTGCTGAACTAAGGTTACAGGAAGCGTGTGGCTGGCACATGAGGAAAAAACATTCAGCCTTTTCCTCACAGTATAACCCTTGACCCAACTGGCCAGTAGCTAAATGTAGACCAGGCTTCTCTGCAAAGAATAGGAATGAACGAGTTGAGCTGAGCAATCTTCATGCAGTCTTAAATTTCAGGTCTATAAACCTGTTTCTGTCACTGCATATAATTCTGTCTAGTAATTTCCCCTTGCAGAGATATCAAGGTAAAGTGCTACAATTAGGCAGCACTCCTTCTACTGCTTTTTCTGAAGGACATGAATTCTGAAGAAAAAAGTGCATACTATCACATCTTGGGCCTCCTGCTGCATAATCCCTCTCCTCTTAAACAAAGTGCCAGAAATCAGGGGGGTGAAAAAGCATCCACTTGAACAGTAAATCAGGTGTGTAACAGTGAAAACCTGCAAAGTGTGCTGGAAGCAGAGAATGTGCTCATGTGTAACCAACTCACCCAGACCTACATTCTTCTTCCACCTCAAACACCCCAGTTCAGAGTCAGAAAGTGCAAATGAAAATCCAAGCTTCAAGCTCTCTCTTGGGATGCAAAGCATGTTCTCAGTCTCTCACTTCTCCCACCTCTGCACAGCCATGCTCAATACCCAAATACACTTTTATCATTAAGCCAAACAGGATCCCCAGCTTTCTCTTTCAAGCTAGGTTCTCTTCCCAATTTATCCCTGGAGGCATCACAGGCTGTGTAACTGCATATAAGCCAAGCATTATGAAGATAGACTAATACCTGTGAAGGTATAAAAGTTACTTCAAACCTAACCAAGGCTACAAAGGCCATCTCTTTACTTCTAGCCATATTCTTCCCTCTGATGTCTTCTGTCTTTGTGGGCGAAAGCTGCATGACTGTGTCAAGCCTCACACCTAAAAGCAGTACAACACCAGAGTGCTGAAATGCATTCAAGTGGCCCCAGGACACCAGAGCTGCCAGCGAGCCATTTCCAGACCACTGAGAGGACGGGCACATTGGGGCAGCCCCTCCGGCGGGGTGGGGGAGCCCACGCACAGAGGGCTGGGGGTGTTTCTCCTCAAAAACGCCAGATAAGGGGCCAACACCCGTAAGGGCAATCAGAGGGCCTATTATTCAGGTGAAGCTTCCCCCCACTCCCCGAAGAGCCCACGTACCACCCGGGCTCGGGCCAGCACCGAAGGCCTGCCCAAGGGCGCCCGCCAAGGCAGGCAGCGCTCCCGGCGGGGCTGGGCCTAAAGGCGCAAGGCCGGCCCGGGGCAGGCCCGGAAAGGCCTCCGGGCAGCGGGCGGGAAGCGGAGCGCCTGCAGCACCTCCGCACACCCCCACACGCCCCACGGGGACCCCCACTCTCCTCCCCTACCCCAGGGCCCCTCCGGCGCAGAGACGGGGCAGCGGCCCCTCACAGCCCTCCCGCCCCAGCGACGCCATCAGGAAGCCGCTCTGGGCCACGGCCGAGCCCCCCGTCCCCATACCGCCCCCGGCCAGGCCAGGCTGTGGCGGGCGGGCTCAGCAGAGGGGCAGGACCGCCGTAGGCCTAAGGATAAGAGGCAGGAAGACCCTGGGAGGGCTTTTTACAGCGATAAGGGCGGCGGGGGACTGGAGGACAGCACGCAACATATGTCCCGCTCAACCGAGGCGGCGGGGAAGGAAGAGAAGGGTGGGTGGGCAGGCAGCCCCGCCTGACAGCCAGGCCGGGCAGCGGTTTCACCTACCCGCCGGCAAAGAGATGGACTAGGGTGTCTCTCTGGCTCATTCTCGTCGCCGCCTGCACCCGGGCGGGAAGTACGGAGGGCTGCCGGGCGCTTCCGCCCCGCGCTCGGCCGAGCCGCGCTACGCAGGGCCCAGCATAAATACGCACCGCGGCCGGGCGGCGTCCTGCGGGGAGGAAGGGGGGGCGGGCTCCGCCTCCCGCTCCGGGCCGCTGCGGCACCCTCCGGCGCGGGGGCCGCCCTCATGAATATGCAACAGCTCCCGCCCAGGTAAACAGAGGCCGCCATTGGCCGGGGGGGGTACGACGTCACCGCGCTCCGCCTGATAAGGCGGGCGGGGAGGCGGTTAACGGCTTTGCTGAGGCGCGAGCGGGGTGGGTGGTGGTGCGGTAACGGGACTGACCATCCGTTCTGTGAGGGGTCTCTCCGGGGTCCTGTGGTAAATGTCTCTTCCAGGAGCTGCCCTGCCTTGTGGCGGGCTTTGCGCCCGGCTCTCTGAGGCCCCCGATTAGCTGTAGCTGCTGGTCCTTTTCTTGAGGTGCGTGCTGGCCCTGAGGGAAGGTCACCCACAGCAGGCACAGAAAACATGGGGAAGAGGGATGTGAAAACCAACCCTTGTGCCCTCCACGTCCCAAAGCAGTGGTATTAGCAAGGCAGTCTTAGCTTTTGCTTCCTTGTATTTTTGCGTTTTAGGTTGTACCCTCAGCTGCTGAAGCAATGCATCTCCCCAGAGAGACACCTAGGCACTGGCTCCTTGGGAGTGTTTCGGAAGTGAGTATTGTGACTTGTTGGATGATTTCTGTCTTGCTTTCCTTCAGAAATACATGGGTAAGGAAAAACAAATAATGCTATGCAGAATAAATCTTAGCATCACTTATAAAATAGTTGTCCAAGTCAACATTTTGAAAGTCCAAGCACCTAAAAGCAAATAAATGACGACCTAAAATCTTCATGAATGTCTACATCATAAATACAATGTTCTTCCAAAATACAAGGAGCTATTTCATAGTAGCACAACAATTTTTAATCTCTGTATTAATAGAACAAGCATGCACTTCGAAGCGGTGACTTCTTAAAACAAAAGTAACCTCCTCCAAGAAGGTGAGCTAATGTAGAAGACATAAATAAGGTAGAAATATAATGTGAAACTTTGCAGGAGTGGAGGGAGTTGAGGAGAAGATGGGTGGGATAAGACTTCGAGAAACATGTGAGATGTGGAGATGCTGAGGGAAAAAAGTGGTTACATTGAACTGACACAAGTAAAAGTAGGACAATGTTTTTGCAGTTGATATTCTGCATTACTCCTCCACTCAGCATGTAGTTGAAACTAGCGAACAAATTATGAGAATTGTTCCAAAATAGAATGACAGGTAAGATTCTCAGAAGCCTGTAGTATTCATACATGATACATGTTAAACTTAACATTCAAAAGGTGAGAAAGGGTCACGTGCAGCTTGGCACAAGATGTCACACAGGAAAGAGTAAATATATTCATGTTATTTAAAACAGGTAAAATATTTTGAAAGTACTGGAAACACCCTACTGATGATTTTATTAAGTGCTGCATGAAAGATGAAGGGTCATATGCCAAATACTCAGTTTGAGGTCACGGATCCAAATTTTTTCCAATTCCCTCAGTAGCTTAAGAGGGAACAGAAGATGAGTTTTCTGCAGGCCATGTGATGCCATCCAGTGAGCACATGTCCCAGTAAACTCAAAAGAAGATTAAAAACCAGACAAAGACTCTGCTTTATTCTGACTCTGTATAGGTGAACTCCTAATCTGGGAGCTATTAACTTTATCTGGTGCTTATGGCTTGCACTGTGACAAACGAAAAACTGTAATTCGATGATTTTTAAGAATGCTTACTGTGTAGTAAGAATAAGTTGAGTTATTAAAATGTTTTATTTACATTATTTGATGCTTTGTATTTTTTTTTAAATTCCATCTTTTTATAGAAACTTTAACTGTTCCATTGACGCTTTTAAAAGGCCTGAACTGAAGTATTTTTAATTTTCATTATGAGTCTGAAGCACTCTGATTCAAAAATGATTTTGTAGTTTCTTGAGAGCTGTCTTTAACACTACTTTTTCTTCGATTCTCCTTCCTAGGCTGGACTTTCTGGATGGACTGTGTATCCCATAATGTTTGATGGATATGGATTCTTACAGTGCATTTCCCCTTTCATCCATCAGGGAGAGGTAAGTGCAGAGAGGAAATGCCACATGGGATAATACTTGAGAGGCTAGAACATAAATAAAAACATCCAAATTGTATGTGGTCCAGTATTCAAAAGATCTTACTTATCTGAGTCTTTGTAAGTTTCTACTTTTTTTTCCCCATAATTTTATTGCAAAACCTGAGTAACTCCCCTACTGAATTCTCTGTCATTTTTACCTATTGATTCTTTAGAAATAATAAAAACCCCTATCATTCTGTTGGAGTTTGGACTTACTTTTCCTACCTGCTTAATGTAACTGAGGCCTGTAATAGGACAGACCAAAGTTGCAGTAAGTGTTAAAATGTGCCACAAGAAATTAAGCCCTTGTTTCTATGTTTTCTAGCTCTGATTTTTTTTTTCTCAGGGTACCATCCACACAGCATGTGCTGCACTTTTCCTCTTGTAGCCTTTGAACAGAAAACACCCTTTCTTAAATTTCATCAATGGCTTTCTGTGTAGGAAAAAAAAAGGCAATAAACCCCACTTTCCTACCTTTCCTGATACAGCTTTTTTTTCTTCCTGCTCTTTTATAGGAGCTTAAGGTGGGATAACACGTTTTATGCAGCAGAATTTTTGCTGCTATTTTTCAATTAGGTTTCTAAAAATTTCATTTGTCTTTCTCTTCTGAACTACTGTATTGGATTCTTGCTCTTATTAGGGTTATAATGACCCTCTGTTTTTCTAATATGACCACATTATACAAGTTTAAAATATACAGGAAATGAGATCGTAACTCTGCATTTGAAACATAGATTTAGTGTAGTCATGGCTTTATTTACCCTTTAATGTTCTTTAAACAAGCACTTGGTATCTTTTGCCAGTGCCAAGGTTAACCCTCATAAAACAATAGAAAACAATATTACTGGGAATGTTATCTTTCATGTCTTTGTTCCTCATCTGAATGCAGCAGATTTTAATTTCAGTCAATTGTGTGTAGCATTTCTGGGCCCAGAGTTATTTTTCCTTCCACTGTAACATACACAGCACAGAGAGGGCATGTCCAAAAGGTATTGCCCACCACCTTACTTAGCTACTTGCCTCCTACAACTACCATTTAAATCAGCTATGCAAATCAAAATGCCTATATCTTGTAGGATAATTTGTGAGAACTAAGATGGGCTTGAAGTCTATTTTCCCTGCCTTGCTGGTGAAAGTAGCAGAGAACTTACTGCACCGTCTTTGTGGAAGTTAGGAATGGATTTATTTTTATCCGGTCAGTTTCCAGTGGTTGAGTTTGAGCTGATGGGCTCCCCTCATGTTTATCACCTGCATGTTTAACAGTTATCTCCTGCTTTACTGTCAGTTCATTTAAAGTGAATAGTAGCCAGCTGGAAGGTGAAGAGTTGTAAAGCACGAAGTAAGGATTACAAACTAGATTAATTATAAGGAGAAGATGAAAGACAAAAATTGCGGTAAAGAGTTTTCCAATGAGGTCTGTTTGAGCATGGTTTCATCAATTTCTACATAGGATTTATCAGCTTTGTATCAGAACTTAAAAATTGAGTAGTTCCTTTGTGAAGGAAGGGTCTACCCTTAGCTAGGTGTAAACTTGGAGCCTTAGAGTACAAAAGTCCTAGATCAAAGAGGAGAGGGAGGTGCAGGAGATTGTTTAGCAAGTAAGGTGGCAGAGACTGCAGGTGGTTCTGTGTGGTAAAATGCTAAACAGTAGAGTTATTAACAGCCAAATGAAGAAACTGCTAGGAGGAACCAAAATGGCTAAAGGTAGGTGGTACTGCAGGGTCAGCTGCAGCTCACATGAGGCCTTGTAAAAAGTACACTAAGTGAAATAAAGCCCTCGGACTTGGCAGCAGCAAAGTGTGAGTGGGGTGTTACTCCTAGGGGGAAAACTGAGCTGCACTCACAGGGAAGTCAGAAAGCAGGCTTTAAATTACGGGTTTTGTGCTTTGGAAAAGGAATAGTAGGTGACTAGGGGTTTCCTGTTTTCATATTCTTTGCTGTGTTCTATGAAGTGCACTTTTTAAAGTCAGTTGATTCAACATTTGTGAGGGGATGAAGTATAGCTCATTAAACAGTCAACATTAATATAACTGTAAGTCTGGCTGAGAAATAAGGCTCAACCTAGTGTTTATTAATGATACTGAGAAATTGAGCGGCTTCATTACTGCTAATGAAGGCCTGGCAGAAGAGTTAAATTTAGGTTTAAACTAAGCTTCTTTTTTTTTTTTTTCTTTTAAATACAAATTTCCTGATATTTTATCTAGATTGTTTCCATAAACTGTTCAAAATGGAGGAAGATGATGGTTGTGCTTTCACATACAGTATTCCTTTTCTCTCTGCTGATGTGTTCAGACAGATTTTCCATGAAGAAAAAAGAAATTTAGACGTATAAACCCCAAAATCTTAAGATTGCCCTATAAATAACTCATTTTCTGACTTGTGTGACTCAGCCTTGAGTGATAAATACCATCAGCATAGATGACGGGATTAGGTATTTTTGTTGCCAGGAGTTGGGTGTATTTTAAGTTGAAGGTCTGGAATCATAGCAGGACATCACAAGGAATGTTTTTAGCTCATAAAATGCACTGATTCTGAAAGTGGATAAAATGGGTGTGTTTGTACTGCTCTTTTGAAATGGTAGAAGTGGATTGGTGTAATGGTGTCAAGTACCATAGTTGGAGGATTTGTATGCCAGCCTAGCAAAAGCTGACCACTTAACCCTTCTATCAGTCTGTATATGAATAGATTTTTAACTCCATTTCACAATTAATGAAGCAAAATGAGACAAGTAAAATGTTTAACCAAACCCACAAATTCAGAACTAACCTTTTGACCAAGAAAACCAGCATGGAAACTGTAATAAACAACTTTCTCTATACTTTGTGTAGGCTTTCTTTTTCTTGAGAATGAAGCAGTCTTTGTTCCTTGAGGAAACACACATTTGTATTGCTCAGTGGCTTGTTTGTTCGAAGTTTGTAACTTACAGAATCTCTTTGGAAATATCCAGAT